TCCACTGCAGCAGCTGGCCCAGCAGCCGGCCTGAAACCTGAAAGGTCGAAGCCCGCGACCTCTGCGAGATCGTGGGCCTCGGCCCTGATACGAGCCAGCCCGCCCTCGTCGATATCCTCGTCGCAGACGAACGCCTCGCGCAGATACTGCTGGTCGATGGGCTCCGTGCGTCGGAGGATCCGAATCCGATGACCTGAGAGGTCGGCAACCTGGACCGCCAGCGTCGGCGCACAGACGATCCATCGCCCCTGCCTGCCAGGAACTAGCAGGATGCGGGCGTGCCAGTTCAGTCCGTTCTCGTCCCCAAATAAGTCGATGAGGACTTGCTTCTCCGCTCTGTCTAGCGCTCTATGCTGAGCCATTCCTCAATCGAAGAGTCGAAGGTGTCGTAGCCAGCGGCCTCTGATCCTGGAGAGGCGCAACTTCGGGAAGCGCGGGAGCTCGCCGCTCGCGCCGCACCGACAGCCGCCCAAGCAGACACCCACCAGCGCCGCAGCCCAGCGCCAGCAAGCAAAGGAGCAAGATGAGGAGCCACGGGAAGCCGCAACTCACGTCCGGGCACTCCGCGCAGGCCTCCTGCGCAGGGCACTCCGCCGCCGGCGTCTGCCCCCGAGCAGCCGCCGCGAGCTCGCCCACCAACTGGTAGCAGGCGCTGGAGTCCGGGCAGGTGACCCCCGGACAGGTCGGGCAGTGCTGCTCGGGGCAGCTCAGCGAGACGTCAGGGCACCGCTGCCCGAGTCCCGACAGATCGCGGGCCACGGCCCAGAGGAGATGGAGGGCGGCAGCGGGATCCCCCACTATGCATTTGTCGCCGCCAGGGGACCCTCAATCACTGTGAGCCAATACGATTAAGGAGAAGGACAGGAGAGAGAAAGAAGCAAGCTAGGGGACAGCAGGTGAAATGACAGGATCCTGTGTTCCAATCTCTCCTGTGGAGGCGACACTCGGCGCCGCCTCGGGTCAGTGCTGTATTCCGAATCTATAAACGTGAGACTGGTGAATATATGTTCTGTACACATATCCCTCTAAATATCTAACAATATATCAAAATAACAATGTAGCAACCGATCTATATGTGAATCAATCGATCTACAAAACTATCGATTTACCTACCTACCTGAACCATCCAGACAACCATCAGGACGACCGTCCGGACAACCATCAAAACAACCATCGGGAAAACCATGAGGGCAACCAACAGGACAGCCGTCGGGACAACAATCGGGACGACCATCGGGACAACCATCGGGAAAACCATCGGGAAAACCGTCGGGACAACCATCGGGACAACCATCGGAACAACCATCGGGACAACCATCGGGACAACCATCAGGGCAACCATCGGGACCACCATCGGGACAACCATCGGGACCATCGGGACAACCATCGGGACAACCATCGGGGCAACCATCGGGACAACCATCGGGACAACCACAACCATCGGGACAATTATCAGGGCAACCACCAGGACAACCATCGGGACAACCACAACGGTCGGGACAACCATCGGGACAACCATCGGGAAAACCATTGGGAAAACCGTCGGGACAACCATCGGGACAACCATCGGGACAACCATCGGGACAACCATCGAGAAACCCATCGGGACCACCATCGGGACAACCATCGGGACCACCATCGGGACAACCATCTGGACAACCATCGAGGCAACCATTGGGACAACCATTGGAACAACCACAACCATCGGGACACTTATCGGGGCAACCACTGGGACAACCATCGGGACAACCACAACGGTCGGGACAACCGCCGGGACAACAACGGTCGGGACAACCGCCGGGACAATCACCGGGACAGCTGGGAGCCACGCCCGGCGCTCAGGGGGGGGCCCTGTTGGCAGTAGATGGCCCCTACCCGTGCAGGGACTCGCGCAGCTTCGCCTCGCCCGCACGCACGACACGAACCGAAACCGAAACCGATTTCCCGGGTAGGGCCACTTCCGTTCACACCCCCCAACCTCCGACAGAGAGAGAGAGAGAGAGCGGTAATAGTATACGTAGCACCACGCAGTTGCGGAGAAGAGTGAGGGAGCGGCGAGGACGTTGGCAGTCTGCGAGGATCTGAAGAAGCCCGCCGCAAGCGCCTCCTAACTTTTACAAATTTATACAGTGAGCCCGCCGCAGGCGGCGACTTTTTCCTTAAAGCAATGTGGGTGGGACACGAGATTGGTTACGGGTGGGTCGCGGATCGGTCGCGGCTGGGTCGCGGGCGGGTCGCGGGTGGTTCGCGGAGCGGGTCGCGGGGTGGGTCGCGGAATGGGTCGCGGGTGGGTCGCGGGTAGGTCGCGTGGTGGGTCGCGGGTGGGTCGCGGGGCGGGTCGTGGGTGGGACGACGCCAAACAGCATTAAACACAACAGCAACAACAACAACACCAGCAACAACAACAACAAAAAACAACAAACATAACACAACAGACAACAAAACCAACAACACCTAACAAACGACAACTAATAACAAACAACCAACAACCACCAACAACAAACAACTAACAGCACACGCAACACAACAAATAACAAACAACACACAACAAACAACACGCACCAAACAACACACAACAAACATCAAACAACACACAGCAAACAACACACACACACAACAAAAAACAAACACGTAACAAACAACATGTACCAACGGCAACAACACTATCAGCAGCAGCAACAACAACACCAACAGCAACAACAACAGCAACAACGACAACACCAACAACAGCAGCGGCATCAACAACAACAACCACAACAACAACCACAATAACGAGAATCCACATCGCGGAAATCTGCTACAGCCACGCGCCCAGGGACAGTGAATGACCGTTCGGCCCCCTCACTCTGATCACTTCCCCTTGTCTCTCATCAATGATTCCCCTTCTCGTTCTCGCTCTTCCCTGCGGAGCATTCCATGTGTTCCTGTTTTGTTGTATGTGCTGAGGTCCCTCCTTGGAGAGCCTCCTGGGGGGGGGCTCACGGAACCTTCTTGGGGGTTTATTGTGGGCCTCTGGAGGCCTCCTGGGCGTGTCTCGGGGCCATATCGCTGCCAAATACAATCTCCCTCGTCGGCTGGGCCTCGATGTGGAGTGCTTTGGGGGGCGCCTTGGGGTCATTAAGGGCCGTCGTTGGGCTCGCTTCGGACCGTCATGACGCCCTGTTAGGCCGTCTTGGGGCTCTGTTCGACTTTTTGATGCCATGTTGGTCGGTTCGGGTGCGATGTCCCCAGCCTCTTGGGCGGTCTCGGAAACCTGGGATACCGGAGAACCACGCGCCCCAAATCCCACAAACTAGCAAACGACCATGTTAGCAAGCGGGCATTCCAAGCTGAAGGCCAGTGCTCCCTCGATGTGCATCATGAGTGTTCCAAACTCGGCGATGCGTCATCTGTTTGGTGGAATGTATGTGTTGTTAGCTATGTGGTGGCATCTCTGTAATGTAAGCTATGGAATCAAAGCGGTCTGGTGCAAACTATGTGATGCAAGCTACATGATGCAGCCTATGTGGTGCAAGCTTGGTGATGACAGCTATGTGGTGCAGCACACGTGGTGAAAGCTACGTGGTGCAAGATATGTAGGACAAGATCTGTAGTACAAGCTATGTGGTGCAAGCTACGTGGTACAATCGATGTGGTGCACGTGGTCCTCCTCCTCCTCCTCCTCCTCCTCCTCCTCCTCCTCCTCCTCCTCCTCCTCCTCCTCCTCCCCCGTCACCCTCCTCGTCCTCCTTTTCCCTCACCTCCTCCTCCTCCTCCCTCATCCTGCCTCCTCCTCCTCCCAGAACCCTCCTCCTTCTCCTTCCTGATCACTCCTCCCTCCTCCTCCTCTGCTCCTCCTCCTCCTTCTCCTCCTGCTCCTCCTCCTCCTCCTCCTCCTCCTCCTCCTCCTCCTCCTCCTCCTCCTCCTCCTCCTCCCCCTCATCCTCCCCTCTCCTCCTCCTCCATCCTCCTCCCTCATCCCTCCACTCTTCCCACCCCTCTCCGCCCTTCCTCCTCTCCATCCTCCTCCCCACCGGGTTAGCCACGCCATGAGTGCGCAGCTGATCCCGGTGGCGATGCGGGGTGAACTCGATCGATATGTGACAGCTTTCCAAGAGACCCAAAGTTGCGCCAACAATGGTTCGGTCCTCGCTGGTGGCCACTTGGCAAGCGGCGGGGCCCTTCGGCACGTTATTGCCTACAGTGCCAACGGGGGCCTCGCGCGAACGCTTGGTCTTCAACGTCTGGCTCAGCGCGTGCGAAAGAGCAGGCCGATGCAGCGGGGGGTGCCGCTGCTGAGCGAGGTGGGGAGGCGAAGGATGCGCCTGCCGACATCAGCTACAATGCTTGGATCAGCACGGGCGGGAAAGGCGAGCTATGCTTTGTTTTCCTAGGAGTTGTGCGTAATGCCACTTTCTTTCAATGCAAGGGTGCGCGAGTGTGGTCAATATAGGCCTTCGAGGTTCTCATCAAAGTTCTTTCATTGTGCTGTTGGTGGTTTCGCGGGCCGTTTTGGATCACACTCGAAGGACTGTCCACGGGCATATCATCGGTGTTAACTTTGCTGTGTCATTGGTGGCTCACAGACTGCTCCTGGATCGATTTATTGTCATAGCTTTCAGGGCTTGAACTTTGCAGGTGGGAGGGGCTGAGGAACATGAGCACTATTGCTCTCTGAATCATGTCGGTGCAATCGGGTGATGGGTATCTTACGTATCGTGGCAGTCTGGCTCTGGAGGCAACATCGCCTTCGTCGTTCATCATAATTGGCTTCTGGGTCGTCTCGGCGCTCGGGAATTGCGGCGCGTTGCTTGATGCAGATGCTGCTTCGCACCTCTTCTGACTCAGATCCCCAATCCTCCCCCTCATGCTTCTTACCTTCCTGAACATCATCGGCATCATCATCATCATCATCATCATCATCATCATCATCATCATCATCATCATCATCATCATCATCAACCGCTTGCACCCAGGAGGTGAGCCAGCTGCCAGAGCGGGCGGTGGCGCCGAAAGCGCTCCTGGCGCAGCTCGCAGAGGCACGAGCTGATGACCCGGTCCACCGAGAAGCCTGCCGGGGGTCTGCGAACCCAGACCCCCGACGTCGTGATTTTTTCACGACGTCGACCCCCAGAGGTCTGGACCCCTTCCCCGGGACGGGTTTTCCGTTCTGAGTCGTTTTTTGACGGTCCCGAAGGCCGGTAAGGGCCCCCAGAGGCCGAAAACAGCGAAAAACCTCCCGTCGTGACTTTTTCACAGCGCGAGGAGGTCTGCTAAGGGCGGACAGGAGGCGCAGCCGGAGGAGCGGCGCTGGGGGCGGGGACTGGACGCGGTCCGGGAGCGCCATGCCGATCGGGGCTCGACGGCGGAGCATGGCCCCTGCTCTCGCCGGGCTCTGGCCTCGATCATGGCGTCGACGACGACGACGACGACGACGAAGGCGAAAGACGGACGACGACGAAGACGAACGACGAGCGGCGAACCACGAACGACGAACAACGACGGCGACGAAAACGACGGCAAAGACGAATGACGCAGGACTAATGACGAATGATGAACGACGAATGACGAACGACGACGACGACGACGAACGACGAACGACCACGACGACGACAACAACGACGAACGACGAACGACGAACGACGAACGACGAACGACCGACAACGACAAACGACGAGCGAAGAAAGAGGACGACGACGACCAACAGCCCGGTCCGCTGGGCCTTTGCCCTCAAAAGGTCAGAGGAGGCGAGCACAGCATCGAGGACGGGCCTCGTGTGGTGCTCGCCCTTGGGGGGGGGCGGGAGGATGGGAACGAAAGAGAGGAACGAGAGGGGAGGGGAGGGGAGGAGGAAATGGGGGAGGAGCGACATGGGAGGGAGGAGCGAGAGGGGAGACCGAGAGGAGAGGAACGAGAGGGGAGGGAAGGGGTGGAGAGGGGAGGGGAGGGAGAGGGGAGGGAGAGGGGGGAGGGAGAGGGGGGAGGGAGAGGGAGGGGAGGGGAGGGAGAGGGAAGGAGAGCAAGGGTGGAGGGGAGGAAGAGGGGAGGGAAATGGGGGGGGAGCACCAAAGGATGAGGAGAAGAGGGAAGGGGAGTGCTCGCATTTCTTCTCCCTCCGATTCCTCCAACTCCAACTCCGACTCCGACACGTGCCCGAGAGTTGTTGGATGCTGTGAGCCTGCTCCTCCTTCTCCTCCTCCTCCTCCTCATCCTCGTCCTCATGCCGCCTCCTGCCCCCACACATGCTCTGTCGGACAAGGCGCAGGGCACCCCAGGACTATAGGGAGGGGTCAGTAGCAAGCCTGACACAAGGATTAACAAAAAGGGCAGCGGATTGGGCAACCAAAAATAAGAAGGAAGCACAAGAAAGAGACAAAGAAACACCAGCAAGCCTACGGCAGAAGGGTTGCAATCGTACATCGAGACCGCCTCAGCAGCGTTGGCATTGTTACCTCCGAGGGAGAGACGACTCCGACAGGACGACCGCACATAAATATGCATGTAGACACATAAAGAAAGACATGCAGGGAAGGATCGGATGGAGAGGAAGGCAAAGCGAAGGCAGAAAGAGCGAGGGCAGGGGATAATCGAGATTTTGGGAGCGTGGGGGGAAGTAGCTGGAGAGGGGAACGGGGAGATGGAGCGAGTGAGGCGAGTAGAAAGGGTGTGAGCACGCGAGGGAGAAGGATAGAGAGAAAGAAAGGGAGAAAGAGATAGAGAGTGAAACCATTGAAGGAGAGAAAGGACGAAAGAGAGAAAAGGAGAGAGAGAGAGAGAGAGAAAACAAAAAAACATAAACAATGACAGAGACAGTGAAATGCACGCAAACCGACACGCACACGCGCATACACAGACTGACACACTGACCGAACGAGCGACCTGCGGACGGACAGATACAGGCGACACAGGACATCAGATGGAGAGGGGAGATGAGAAAGAGAGAGAGAGAGAGATAAAGAGAGAGAGAGAGAGAGAGAGAGAAACAAAAAAAAGACAAACAAAAACTGACACAGGCAGAGACAGAGACAAGGGCACTGACAGACAGGAGAGGGAGAGGCACAGAGAGAGCGAGAGAGAGAGAGAGAACAAACAAAAAAAGAAATATGGGTGGCCGGTATAAACAAACTTACGCAATCATCAAACAGCATGCACCTAAAGGTCTGAAGACGGGCTACACGGACAAACGGTGGTCCAGGACCAAGCCCATCCCGTGACAATCGATGCCGATACCCGTAGGACGCGCCTCCCGTAGTCAACCGAATTTCGCTCGACCCGTGAGAACCAACCACATGTAAAGAGGCCGCCATGGCCCACTGGAGACTGGCGGTAACGAGCAGTGTTTTCTGAGTACATGTCTGAAGCGTGGTACACCTTTTGACACGCGACATGATTCGAGGATGCCCTTTTTCTGGCACTCTCGGAAAGCCTGTTGGTGTCTGTTTGCAGACTTGTGGACACACACACACACACCTATATCGGGACCATGAACGTGCACAACCGACGACATCTACCCCAACTCCAAAACGACAGCATTGGCTATAACCACCTGAGTGGTAGCCATGGCCATTCCATAAATACGCTGGCCTGCGATACCTCGTCGTTTTCACCACATAGCTTACACCTCACCTTTTGCACCACACAGCTTCCGCGACATAGTTTACACCATACATACTGCTAGCTTGAACGAACACATCCACACCGCAATAACGTATTATGTTGGCCAACGCTGGCAAGCATGCCATACCACGTCAAACATTCAGAAAGCGGCAGATTGGCGCCGAAAGAACTGCAGCTCCAGTGGAGAACCCGTGGAATCGTTTGAGGCCGAGCTGATCCAAACAATGGTGTGGACGTCGTAAGTAAGTCCTCGCGCGTCGTCTGGCCGTTCGCACTGCCCCACATGAACGTTGAGCTCATTGTTGGGGCGGTGGCTTTGCAAGCCTGCTGGCACATCTTCATACCGTCTTTTGTTGCTTCCTGCCTCAATCGTGAAATCTGCGCTTGTTCGCGACGTCCTGTGCCTGCCTCGTCGAGAGGGCAGCGCTACCGACGGCGTTGTTCCCGGCCCGGCACCCGCCAGCAATGATGGCGACAGCGCGCGCTGGGCAAGCCAGGACTCGCGCGGAGACCAGCCTGCAACCCTGGCTCGTGCAGTGAAAAAGCAAATCGCGTGTCTCCTTGCGCAAGCCGCTGGGCGCGAACACCCGTGTCGTCGGTGGCCATCTGGCAGCAGGCGGAGCAGGGCAGCCTCGAGCGAGCTGCAGAGGCCGCAGGCAGCGCGTGCGCTCGAACGGATCGTGCGTCTCCATCTCCCCCGACCCGTGGCCAGCGGTTATGTTTCTGTTCGGCTTGCGAAAGTCGCACGCGTCTCGCACAACGCAACTCTCTACCCGCCACCTGCTTAAAATGTCCACGATGTTGGATAACAAGCCATCGAATCACCACTCTGCAGCGAGTGCCTCGGCGACACATGCAAGCACGAACGCGCCAAGCAACGCGCCACCTCGGAGCATGAGCTCGCACTCCCCAGAAGCACAATATGCGAGCGCGGCGACGCGCGCGGCTGCGCTGCCGTCGCCCCTGCGGGCTCCATCGAAACAGGGCCTGCAATTCACTGGTTCTGAACCACCGCGCGCGCTGCGAACGCCATCTGCGCGCTCGACTAGCCAACTCGCGCCGCGATCCAAGGCCTCATTGGTCGCCTCGTCTGCAAGAGTTTTGAAAGCCCGCGGGCCCCACTCAATGAAGACAGCTGTCTGGCTCCTCGGCTGGAATGAACGTCGGTGCATCTTCAGCATGCCCCTCGAGATCCCGAGGAATAACGGCCGAAAATGCAAGCCCTTCAAAACTGAAGCGCCGTTCAGGATGCGCGCGATCTGCCGGTTGCTGGTCTGCGCCCGAACGCGGGCCCCCGCTGCGCCCCGCAGGCGCCCCCGAGGGTTAAGTTTGAGAAGGTCTTCTCGGCCGCCTGGAAGGCTCGCCGCGCGCGGCCAATGAGCGGCTTCAGTTCGCCGGGGCCCCCGCGAAGAACTGAGAGCGCGCGCGAGCCCGTCGGATTTCTCCACCCACTCCTGCTTTGAACCGCAATCGTCTCGATGCGCGCGCCAAGATCCCCCCGCCCCCCCCCCCGCCCCCCCGCCCCGCCCCCCACCCCAAGCGCGCGCGAAAGGTGCCCCCGCGCCTTCGCCGGCCGTCCAGCCCTGAAATGCACTACCCCCAACGGCCTCTGCCTTGAAGAAGAAGCCAATTCTGCGCCGCCTGCCGCCAAATAGACGAGAGGCACCCCCTTAGCACGCGCAACCGGACAGGCTCCACAATCGAAGCTCCATTCCTTGAGCTCCCAAGCGGACGTGCACACCGACCGCGAATGCCTTTTCGCAAACGAATTGGAACTTTGCATGCGACCTCCACGTGGTCGGCAAACACGCCGTTTGATTGTTGAACTGCACTGCTGTTTCGCCGGGCCCGCGGCGCACGCGGAAGAATCGGCGCGACATCTGGAGTTCCCATGTTCGACATTGCCACGGCGACCCTGCTGTGATGCGCCACGTCTCTGCACTGTGAAGTGAACGCGCCGCTGGTCCGGTAGCCCAGGCGCGCAGTCTCTTCAGCACTGGAGCTTTCCGATGCCGTAGCACAGCTTGGTGTCGGAAGTAGAACTTCTCCGCGCAAGCCAAGTTGCGGTCGATGCTATCGTTGGCGTTGCCGTCGGCTGCCGAGTAACCCCTAGCAAAATCAAGCCACCCTTCTGTTCGCATCGCAACAATTGCAACATTGTCCGCACCAATATTCTTTAGACGCCCCGCAGAAAGCAATTCCAGCGAGTCTGGCTTCCAAAAACAAAAAAAAAAAAACAAAACAAAAAAAAAAAAAAAAAAAAAAAAAAAAAAACGGTTGGCCCGAGCTGTTGCGAAAACGGCCGATAGCTTCGTTCAACTGAGTGGCCACGCGCTGCATCGCGTTCGCGTCATTCGCCATCAGCGCCGCGCCGTCAGCCCAAGTGGCGTGAGACACGCGCAGCCCAGACGACGCATCATCAAGATCTGGGAAGCGAGAACCGAGGCCTCGGTATTCCCAGGAAACAATCAGGGGCTCCAAATACATAATCCAACATGCTCCGCCACTCACCCGGAGTCTCCGCGCCCCCCCGCTTGCCGCCCCGGGTGAATGGGAATCGAGGCGTCTCACCAGCCAGCGGCAGTGAGATGCTGGCCTCGAGCTCGCTCATCTCCCCGACGAACGGATCGACGCCTTGGGCAGCCATGCCCCGTCGCAAAGACTGATGAACCAACTCGTGCGGCTTGGGATCGAAAGATGCAGCAATGTCCCGACAAGTCACGCAACCGCGGGCAAGCCCCACGCCTCTGCTACGTGCACCGCCTCCCTGGCCAGTCCTGTAAATTCCAAAATTGGACGCAGCGTAACGGAAACCATGGGATTGCACGCGGGAGGGCACCAAGTTGCCCCGGATCCGCGGTCGGATCGCATTCAGAAACAGGCCCCAAGAGCGCCCGAGAGCGCTCCAAGAGAGCCCCAGGAGGCGATAACCGGGGCTCCCGATGGGAGGACCAGAACTGAATCCCCCCCTTGTTTGATCGATGTCTTCCAAGATGGCTCCAAGAGCGCCCATAAAGCTCCCGAGAGCGCCCCGAGCTCCAAGAGGCGCCCAGGCGGCCCCAACAGGCGCCCAAGGGCCCTCCAGGCGCCCAAGACCTCCAAGAGGCCTCAAGAGGGTCCCGGAGGCACCCAAGACGGTCAAGGACGGCCTGGGGCTCGCCAAGATGCCCCCCCAGACGCCCAAAGAGGCTGCTAAAAAGCTCCCAAGAATCATCCGAAGGGACTCCGAGAAGCATTCAAAAGGCTTCTGGCTCTTTTGTTCGCCCTTTTCCTCCTCTTCCTCCCCCTCCTCCTCCTCCTCCTCCTCCTCCTCCTCCTCCTCCTCCTCCTCCTCCTCCTCCTCCTCTCTCCTCCTCCTCCTCCTCCTCCTCCTCCTCCCCTCCTCCTCCTCCTCCTCCTCCTCCTCCTCCTCCTCCTCCTCCCTCCCTTCCCCCCCCTCTCCCCTCCTTGTCCTCCTTTCCATCCTCATCCGCTTTCCCCTGCCCCCATCGCCTCTTATCCTGCTGCTCGCCCTTCCCCTCCTCCTCCTCTCCTCCTCCTCCTCCTCCTCCTCCTCCTCCTCCTCCTCCTCCTCCTCCTCCTCGTACCCCGGGCCCTCGGGTCCGAGGAGGGCCCCAGGGCGGGCCGCGCGCGCCGCGGGCCGCGCCGCGCGCGCCCGCGCCCGCGCCCGCCGCCGCGGGCCGGGCGCCGCTCCTCCCTTCACCCCTGCCCGTCCGCCCTGGGGCAGGGGCCCGCCGCCGCCGCTGGCGCCGCCCCGCCGCCGCCCCCGGCCGCCGCCTCCGCACCCCTCTCCCGCCGCCAGCTCCGGGCTCCGCCGCCGCAGGCCTCGGCGCCC